GATGGAAAGAGCTCCTAGCCAATCAGATTCGAGGACCAGAAATAACCGTTGTATGAATTAATGAATAAATTAATCTTTATTACTTTATTTAATATAATATTAATACAATATAATATAATAAAAAATATTATTATTATTTAATATTATTAATCAGTAGTTTGTACAATGTACCACCTGCAATTGCTTATAAAATGTATATAAAATAGTATTATAAAATTAACAAACACAATTAAATAAACATTACAGTCAGACTGTCAGTTATAAACACCCAAACCTAGCCAAACCTACCACGCACACGAGATATTAACATACTGCTAACAGCACATCCACAGCGATGTGAAGATGACAAAGTGCATCTGCCAGACCAGCCACAGCCAAACTGCGAACAGCAAATTCAGAAAACACTGTTGACTAATTAGTCCAATACATTTATCGCCTGCGTTGGCTTCGGATAAGAGTGGAGGCTTTGGTCGGAGTCCCAAATACATTGAGATCTTAATTGAGACAGTTGTTGTTACAATCATTATAACAAGCGTTTCCACGTGACTGGCTGCTTGTTGTCTTGTCCACGTTTTCCTAACCAGAGCCGCGGAGCGTGAATCTTCACTATCAGCTGAGCCTCAGCCTCACAATGCTCTGTGTTCGCCTTGTTACGCAACCCAAATCAGTCCGAATTAGTCATCCTTGATTCAGCTGGCCACCAAATTAGCGTTGATTTTCTGAGCCGCATTACAAGTGCTGTCAGAATCCTGGAAGCCTTAATACAAGCTTTCATGTCTTTGAATTGGTGATGATTGAGAACAAAAAGGTGTTTGAGGAAACATGTTACGGTTTAAAAATAGTCCTCAGAGGAAAATGCAAAAACAAGCTGTTTTCTCTGATGTGATGTGTGCTGGAACACTGCAAAAACACATTTAATCAGTCTCTAACAATCCTTAAAATTAGATTAAGAAAAATATATTAAAATGTATTTTCAGAGACTATACTGTATTTTTAAATTACATTTATTTTTCTTACCCCATTTTTTTGTCTTGTTCTAAGCATAAACCTCACTAAATTTTGTGATATTTAAACATAATAGGGCAATAGACAGCAAACATTAAACTATATTAAGAATATTAAACCATGTATTCTTAGAAAAATATAGCATCATATTTTATGCAGTTTGGTTGTTCTAATACAGCTGTTAAACAAATATAGTTTACATAATATGTTCATGTTTTCGTGACTAAAAAAAAAAAGTAATATATTTTTCACTTGTGAAACAACTTTTTATGATTATTATTATTTTTATTATTATTGATAACAATTGTTATTGATAACAGTAATATACAATTTTTAATACTATTACTTTACCTGTCCATAAAGCTTTGGTTTTTAATTACTATTATTAACCAGTGCCTTATGGTAAAATAAGATCAATAATATAATAATGTTATATTACTACTACTATTACTACTACTACTACTACTAAAGCTAATTTAACAACAATACAATTCATAATGTGTGCTTGTAGTTAATAATGGATAATGAATGTGTGAACAAAAAAAATGCTGTCATCTTTATACTGAGCAGTAGATAGTCAAAATGGTAGTAAGAAATGACGAATGATATGAATCAACACAGTTAAAATCTCTGTGATTACATCATGTCTGACATCCCTATGTAGCGAATCAGCTCATTCATGGGGAAATATGAATAATTAATATGGTAACCAGTGGCCTGTGGTCATTCGCAGACATCCTGGCGCCCAGTCTATTGGGTGAGGGGTCTGTGATGACTTGTTAATCTAATGAATAACTGATTTGTTAAATCAAATGAAAAATTGTGTTTTTGATTGGTCCAGATGCTACACCTAAAACCTCCAGAGTCACAGAGAAAAACGAGAGAGAGAGAGAGAGAGAGAGAGCGCTCTATTGTCATGGCGTACACTAATGCTTGGTAATCCTCAGCACAGGCTTACATAAAGGGCTCTGTCAGATCTCATAGAGTCTCTGTGTGAGAAGAGCAGCACATTCACGACTTCCACAAAGCCTCTTCTGCCTAATCATTATTCACATCAGCTTCATGGGCCTTTGCTTAGGCAACTTAAAAGTGCTCTTTGAAATTCATTCATTAAGATAACAAAATTCAGAAAAGCTTCCTTTTGCATTTCGGAGGGAGGGCAAAGAAAAACAGACAATAAAACATTTGCACTTTTCTCAATTTCCATGCTACTGACTGTATAAACCGTTAGCCAACTCACGCCATTGGTTGAGCCAGAAGAGGCCACAATGCGCCTCATTTGTGAAACTCAAGCATAGTAACTTCATTTCCAAATCATTCGTAAAACTATTCTTACACTATTGAATATCTGTTTCATAAATTAATTCTGCTCATGATGTTCATAACCATTTGTACTAGGGCTGCACGATAAATCGCATTTAACGCGCATCTTGTCAGAAAGCCGGTTCTGTAATCAGCGGTAAATCTCCATCACCTGCGGGCTTTCACATTGAGCAGCATTAACTACACAGAGCCGTTGTTCACTGACGAGCTGAGCAAAACCACGTTCATATTCGCGCAATTTTTTGCGCAGCTCGTCAGTGAACAATGGCTCTGTGTAGTTAATGCTGCTCAATGTGAAAGCCCGCAGGTGATGGAGATTTACCGCTGATTACAGAACCGGCTTTCTGACAAGATGCGCATTAAATATCGCATGCGATTTATTGTGCAGCCCTAATTTGTACAGCATGTCAATTCTCAAATTTGTATGATCCATAAATTTGTTCTGCTCATTTCACAACCATGCAATCATTCACAATCACGCAATTTATAAATCATTTCTGCTTGTGTTTCATAAATTGTTTGTGAACTTTCTTAACATTCACTTCATAAATTCACAATAATTGAGTTCTATGAATTGTTCGGAAACTTTCTTGCGTAAACTATCAAACATGCGCTTCATAAATTTGCAATAATAGAGTTCTATGAATTGTTCGTAAACTTTCTTGCATAAACTATCATACGTGTGCTTCATAAAATCGCAATAATTGAGTTTTATGAATTGTTCGTAAAATTTCTTGGGTAAACTATGAAACGTGCGCTTCATAAATTTACAATAATTATGTTTTATGAATTGCTTGTAAACTTTCTTGCATAATTTATCAAACATGTGATTCATAAATTCGCAATAATTGAGTTTTATGAATTGTTCGTAAACTTTCTTGCGTAAATTATCAAACGCGCTTCATAAATTCGCAATAATTGAGTTTTATGAATTTTTCATAAACTTTCTTGCGTAAACTACCAAACGTGTGATTCATAAATTTGCAATAATAGTTTTATGAATTGCTCAAACTTTCTTGCGTAAACTATCAAACGCATGCTTCATAAATTCACAATAATTGAGTTTTATGAATTGTCCGTAAACTTTCTTGCGTAAACTATCAAACACACGCTTCATAAATTCACAATAGTTGAGTTTTATGAATTGTTCGTAAACTTTCTTGCGTAAACTATCAAAGCGTGCTTCATAAATTCACAATAATTGAGTATTATGAATTGTTCGTTAACTTTCTTGGGTAAACTATCAAAGGCGCGCTTCATAAATTCGCAATAATTGTGTTTTATGAATTGTTCGCAACCATGTCATACATAAATTAGTATTAGTTTGTAACCATACTTATGTGAACAAATGAACTTTTATAAATTGATTTATAAATGAATTATGCATGTTTACTGAATCGTTCACAACCATGCAATACATAAATTGTCAAATGTGTGATTCATGAATTTGTTTCATTTATAATTTTTTACATTTTCACACGATTTTAAAATATTCCAGTGGACTTCCACAGTGTGAGTTTTTTTTAGGCAACCATTATTTTAGAATGTATCGCCTTATAGTTTCCATGGCGATGCGTCATGTTTGTCACGTGACACACTGCAGCCACAATAGCTGTGAATGAGTGATGTATGTGCTTTAATTTCATTTTTCCTTTTTTATTCAAAATATTCACAACGTGTTAATTATATTATGAAATATCCAATTCTCCAATATGTGCAAGTAAATGCATTTGGTAGTTTAAACACCTTTATAATGATCATGTTTGTTGATCTATAATGGGTGATGGGCGCTGCCATGTTAGTTCGCGCTGAATCCGAGCTGTAGGATTTACAACACGTAAATTCATCCTTTCCTCTAGAAAGACATTAAAGTAAGTTTTTGGTGAACAGGGAGAAGAATAGAGTAAACTTTATTGTTACCTACACAATGTGTATATGATATCAATAAAACATGTCATCAAATTATATTTGTAAGGATCGTTATTACGGCTTCCCTATACATCAGTGTGTATTTTATAAACTATAAATGTATATTGTGCTAATACTTGTGTATTTAAATGTCTGATAAGCATTATGTGGTTGAAAACACTGAATAGTTGTGATAATATGACAAGCACTGAGCGCGTCCATCTCTGGCTCAGCGCCAGGAAAAGTGCAAAAGCAGATTTGAATTTAGCAGCTGATCATGTGACGCACCGATTATATTCATAACTCATAATTATACAATTCTTATGCAATTATTATACAATTCATAAATCATTCTATAAAGTTGTTCTTCTTTTGTTTAATCAATAATTTGTTAAAGCATTTTTATGTAAATTATTGTACTGTTTACAAACAATTTGCACAGAAACTCATTTACTAGCGGCCTGTTCACCAAAAACACATTCTTGCATTCAGTCTGTGCTATTTTTTAATTGTTGCTCTACAGTATGTTCACATGTGCCAGGGGTATGTCTTTGGCCGTATCTCCTTCAAAACTGCATATTTATGAAATATTGGACAACACACTCTCAAACTGTCTACTAGATTGAGCAAATGGTGGTTCCATTACTGAAAGTACTATAATCCAGCCTCTCGAGTGATATTTGTTGTTGTAGCACAGGCAAACGGCCTCTCCTGCCCACAGTGGAGTGAAGATGGAGGATCCAGTCAGTTGGTACGATACTCACCACATACAGCTGCTTCCACAGGACGGACCACTCCTGCAGCGTAGAGGTGACCTCTGTAATGATGGGGTCCTCCAGCGGGACCACAGTCTCATATTGCCTGCACAGAAACAACAAACATTGACCACAGGTTAGTGGGATTGCCCTTCAAAAAGTGGTTAGAATGAATACTGTATTTAAAAAAAAATAATAATCCAAATAACATCAAGTCTGTCTGTCTGTTATTCAAACCAAAGCAGAAAACAACAAACATTGACCAGAGGTTAGCGTGATTACCCTCCAAAGTGTGAGTAGACATGATTATTATAAATA